TATTGTTTTTTTGAAGGCACCCTAAGGAGACTAAGACAAGTGAGAGAACTTGTCTAGCCATCCACTGATTACAGAGACATGTTTAAACATGTTTTGTTTAGAACAAATCCATGCATGTATGAATGGAACCCTAGTAGCAATACTTTTTACTTACCCTCATTCACTAATTGGCTGTGCAACCCTACTCTTAATCAGTGTGAGTTTTCCCTAACCATAATCTGAATGCCAGTATTTCATAGGCAATAACTGCCCTTAGCCCTTGCCATTTGCCCCTAGTAACCACTCAGTAACTTTGGACTATATATTTAATTCTTCTTGTCATTTTGTATAATTGAGTTCATAGAATATGTATCTTTATGTGATTATTCTGTTTTACTCATAATGTCTTCAGACTCTATCCATATTATAGGATGAATCAAGACTTTCTTTCTCTTACTGGCTAAGTAGTATTCCTTGGTACATACCATGTTTTGTTTATTCATCAAGTGATGGGTATTTAGGTTGTTTCCATATTTTGGCTGTTGTAAATAGTGCTGCAGGGAACATTAATGTGCATGCATATGCTTGATTCTCTGCTTTTAAGTGTTTTTGTTGTTGTTCTACAGAGACAATTTTATTAAGCCTTAAAAAGGAAACACATAGTCATCCTGATGAGGGAAGCTGTGAGCATGCACATAGTACAAAGGTCTATGGAGTATGTCAACTCACAGGCATAGTTTTCATTATCTAGGATAGAGAACAAAAGAAATCAACACAGGATCATGATTGGTGGTAGGCCATTTCATCACTCTCAAGGGACTACAGATGCAGGGGGTGAGTTGGGGTGAAGACAATGATTGGGATACGTAAACAACTGCAGGTTAAAAAAGGTTACAGGATTGATTCTGAGGTTTTGATTATTTGGCTGGTCAGAGTTTGACTAGAGATCATGTGACCTTGGCTTCTAGTCACCGGGAACCCCAGCTTTGAAACTTAGATAGCATTGATTGACTATTTTCGGTAAATCATTGCTGGTTAAGTTCTTTGTGTAAACAACTTTCTGCATACTAGTTAATCTACTTTCAGCACTCTTTTCCTGAGGGCAAACTACTCTTCCCTGGACTTGTCCCAGACTTGTCTAAGCATAGCCACATTACTGGTTTCATGATCAGCAAGCACTGGAGAAGTAACAAGGACTCAAATGGTATCTGAGTTTATGACCACAGACAAAATGGAGTTAGGACTCCATCTGTAGGTGGCCCCCCTTCTATGAACCAATGCTGTAGAGTTTAAGCTCCCCAGTCTCAAATCCTGACACAATTCTGAGACTCACCGTCAGTGTCTAGCCTCTCTCCTGTCAGTAGATTTGGTGTTATTTGATCTTAGCTCCTCTGCAAGACTAGGAACTCTGCAAAGGCTGGGGATAGTCTTTTTTGTTCTTCTCTACTGCAAACTACAAGGTCAGTGGTTCTAGCCAACCAACTCCTCCATAGGAGGAAGATGAGATTTTGTGCTCTCACAAAGATTTAGTCTCAGAAACTATATACAGGGTCACTATGAGTTGGAAACGACTTGACAATTGAATGAAGGTTTACAGAGCAGATCATCAGTTTTTGGTTTCTTTTTTTTTTTTAAGTTTTTTATTGTGAATTGAGTGAAAGTTTACAGGGCAGATCATCAGTTTTAAATTCAACAAATCATACACCTTGTTTCATTACAATGATTATATTATTCACTTTAGCTTTTTTTAAAAAAATTAAAAAATAAAAACACTCAGGCATATATAATAATTTACACCTCCAAAGGGCACATCCTGCAAGTCTGCTCCTGGCCACCACCTCTTAGTCCCTCTCTTCCCATGAATCTAGAGTCCTCAGCCGCTCCCCCTCTCCCTGACCCCATCTCTGCCTCTGTCTCTGGCATTGCTGCTTTTCTGGATAAGGTCCCGCATTCTGCTTGTGCTCTTCTCCCTTGATGGTCCTAGTGTCCTCTGTTTCTGGACTGTAAGATTAACCACTCCCCTGTTTTTGTTACAAAACATCTACCTTTACAATTTTGACAGTCGCAATTAGTCATGATAACAAACTTTGGTTCTGGAACTGATTTATCATATTGCTCACTGGACCCCAGAAAGTCGCCCATGGTCAGCTAAGTGGCGATAGACAATATGACTAAGTCTCCAGCATCGCTTTACACCACGAGGTCGGAACGTCATGACAGCGATTTCTGATTCTAACAGGAGAGCTATCTCATGGAAGGTCAGCAATTTCTTCATCAGCAATTTCCTGAAGGTCCTTTGCAAAATGGTATTTTTCCTGAGTGAATTGATCCGTAGCATTTTATCTGCATATTCATAGGCCATTTTTCATGTCTTCACATCATGTAACATTTTCCAGTCCACGTAGTAACCTCGAACTAGGCCTGAATTTGATGCAGGTACCATCTGCCAGACAGTGTGCAGCAGTGAACACAGCATAAAGGCGCCATCTTGTCCACCGCTGTAACATCCTATCATTTGGTTTTAAGTGAAACTGTCATTTTAAATTTCAAGGAGATCTGTGCGCATGCGTAGTAGAACCCTCTGGGGGTGGGTGGTGGGGTGTCCACTTGCTCCGGCACTGCCTCTAGTCACCAGAATGGAAGTGCGCAGACTGTGAGAGACCAATGAACAGATACCAAAAAAAAAAAAAGAATGCCCACACCTTTATCTCCACAGTTCTGTCAGAAGTTCGTGGCTGATCTGATCCTTCCCCCACTTGGTCTCTCCCAAGATGGTGTTTCTGGGAGCAGCTGAATTAGAAAGCAATGGATTTCTTGCTTCTGCTACAAATTCCCTTAGCTGTAAGCCTTCCAACGTTCTAAATATTCCTTTATGTGTGGTTCAGAGTTCTGTGACCATACCTTCAGCCTGCTTGGCCCAGCATTCTGTGTTATTGCTGGTGGAGCTTCTCACTGCACTTCCACCCTCTCTGCCATCTTGTTCTCTTGATCATCACTTTTTACATTCACCAAATCATGTAATTCATTTCCTTTCGAATCACTACAATTCCCACAATATAGCATTACTTATCTCACTTCCTCCCTGTGATTCTTGTTTCTGTTCAACTTTCTTTCTCAACCCTTTTGAATTTTGTCCTTAGGTAAATGCTGCCCTTTGATCATGAATGGTTGACCATTTCATGGTGTGCGTACCTCACTAGTATTGACCCCCTCTATATACCTATCTACTGCTTGCCTGAAAATTGAGCCACAAGGGTAAGTTCAGTTCGGTGATTGAGGGCCATAGTCTCGGTGCCGACTTGATGGCACCTAACAGCAACAACAACTATATACCATATATAGTATGTAGTATAATATATATAATTATATTATATG